GGCGGCGGAGAGCGGGAGCTGGGCCTGACCCACCGGGAGGCTTCTCCTCGCCGCCCCGTCAGCCGCCCTTGCCGCTCCCGCTCTGGTCGGGGGCTGAGGAGGCTCCCCGGGACCGAGAGAACCGCTGGGTGGGGTTCGGCTTGAGGGGGTTTGGGATTTTTATGTATTTGGAAGCGAGGTAAGGCTTTAAACTTGATAAATGCAATTAGCTGGCAAAATGCTGTATCATTTTGGTCACTAATCAGCTGCTGCGGGTAAGAGCTTCGAACTAATTGTTTCTTTAGCGTTAGTGACACTCCCGTCTGCCGTATATGTGTATAGTCATAGAATCAGAATGGTATTTCCTATTTCTGGTGTTAAATTCACCTTCTTGCAGTGAGCCAACTTCCCCTGCCCTCTGAACCTGTCGTTCTTCAGGTACTCTGAGGAGATCAGACACTATGCTGGCTTAAAATGCAGTTGCAGGTCAGGAAGCCACTGTTAAGAGAGGGCAGAGAACTGCATCATTCTTGGTTTCTGTTAAAAACATCTTCTGCCTTAATAAAAATTAGCTGGATCCTCATCCTTTTTTCCCAGGGCAAGCAGATGTCCTTTTTCCCCAACTCAACAGGGGTTTGAAATACTAGTGTGGTGTAATCTGGCTCAACTGGCGGCCAAAGGAAACCTCAGCAATTCAATTATTCACAGTAATCTGTGGAATTAAGGAGAATAGCAATAGTATTGGGGGTCCTGGGCTTCAAAGTGCACCTCATTATTGTCAGAGTCCTAGCTTTTTGTGCCTATGCTCTTTTTCTTTTATCTTTCCACCCCTTACTTAAATGTACAGTTTAACCATTCCACTTCCAATGGCTGTTTGGAGCTCAGAAGATTTCAGGTCTAATGTGAAAGAGCCAGTGAAAGATGTTACGCTCGGAAGAGACCACAAGAATCACTGGCTGTGTGTGTGAATGGGTACTGAAAAAAGAGTTTGGAGCTCAAAAGACTTCAGGTCTAATGTGAAAGAGCCGATGAAAGATGTTACACTCGGAAGAGACCACAAGAATCACTAGCTGTGTGTGTGAATGGGTACTGAAAAAAGCATTGATATACATGCATCTGGTGTCTGATTGCTGCTTCTTAGTTATGGGGTTGGGTGTTTGTTTTTTTTTTTAGGTAAATCAGCTTCACCCATAACTGTAGAGGTGTTGGTGATCTCAGTAATGTTGCGTACACATGTGCCCAGGACAATGTTTTGGTTACAGACTACCCAATATATTAGGTTCCAGTTAGATTAATGTCTTGATGTCCTGGCGTATAAATATCTGAGTTTGCCTTACTACGCTGCTATGGATCCATACCCTCTCTGTCAAGAGAGAATAGGAAAGGTGAAGCAGATCTCGTCTGTGCTGTTCTACAGCTATATGTGTTGCAGATTCACACTGACAGAGCTCTCTGGTTTATGGCCTATGTTGATATGCTGTTGGAGGGAGTTTCTGCTGGTTTTTTTTGCTGTTTTGCTTTTTAATTGCTTCTTTCACAGCAGGCTGAGTTGTGAGAATATGACTTTGCAGGAATAGTTGCATCTGTATGCTTTATATATGCCAGCAAAGGTATAATACTTAACAAATGCATATTTTCAGCCAAGGTGATACAGTTAAGTCAGCAGAAGTCAGGTCTGTTCTACCAGCGTCAAATAAGCGTGGCAGTAACTGGTTACAATTGTAGCAAGTGAGATTTATTGGAGTAAGAACTTTATGATTCCCGATAAAGGTTTGATACATTATTACTGTTAAATATTTCAAGTCATATGTCGATTTTACTGCAGATACTATTTTTTTCACAGGAGATAACATGGAGTGCTAGTACTAGTTTACTGTTAAGAGGTTTTTTTGCTGTTTTGGGAAAAGCAGGCAACTCTTTGCCCTCCCTTATGTCACTTTAGTTAGCAAGACTTTGGCTTGTGGTAAAAGATGCTGGAGCTAAACCATTAGATGGAAAATAGGAAATAGTATTAATTAATAGGTGAAGCTAATCATGTGACATTGAAGCTGTCTGAGGAAGTGGGAATTAACACTTCATGATGTGTTTCTAAATGTCATTCTTAATTGTATCACCAGGATTGCTCACCATCTGTCAGCCAGGTAGGAAGGTTATTTTTACATGTACCAAGGATATCAGTAAGAACATGAATGTGCTAATTCTATTTGGGGCAGACATTTTTTAAAAAAAGATTGAGTTAAGTTAAACTGTATGTTGTTTTCACAGATGTGGCCCTTGTTTAAGGATAGCCCCAGCTTTCAATGCTCTGAGTAACAAATATCCCCAGGCAACTTTTTTGGAAGTAGATGTGCATCAATGCCAGGTTGGTATTCAAAAACATATTTTCAGTTGTAAGAGAAAGAGCAGATAATGTAGTGAATGGGAAACTTGGAAGAAAAACTGTTCAGACAGTATAGTAAGAGTAGTATCCTGTGGCTGTTGACACGTTTGGTGAATCACAAATATTCTCCAGATTCTCCAAAATTAGGATATGCACAAAGATGTGAACAAACAACACTTCTATCTAGAAGAGTATTCTTGCAGTTACCACTGTGAGGTCCTTTATTTAAGCAATGTACAGACAGTTTAACAGTTCCTGTTGCTTGTACTATTTAGATGACACCGTTCAGTGTAGAAGATAGCACCAGTATGAATTAAAAATTAAAGAGTAAGTCTTTCCAAACAAATATTGGGGTAATTATTGAGCAAAATGAAAAATACAATAAACTGATATGATTAGTGGAACTAGATTCCTCTTAAGTACTACTCAACTGTTTTTAACAGACAACAGTGTTGCACGTGAGCTATTGATTGACTTAAGAGTCGTTAACAAAAATTAATAATGGTATGTTGAAAGGAAGTGTCTTGAATTACTACAAATTATAATAGAGAGAGGAACATCAGAGTGGTAACACTGTTTGCAAATGAGACTAAATTATGGAAAGTTTTGGAAAAACTACTATGGGTGCATAGGAGGTATGAGTACAGGTAGAAATCAAATGGAGTTCCCCTTCTACAGCAGCAGGCTACAATTCCTGGGTGTGCATGAATATGGCTTCGGAGAGGAAGGAATGCAGGTGTAAAGAAAGCTTGTAAAAGAAAAGTGTTAAACTAAGCCGTCCTCCACTTTAGAGAGCAAATGAGTAATATGATTTTTATGGTGTACCAACAAATCTACTGACAATGTGAAGTCGGTTCAAAGAATGCCCAAATGTGTAAAGGATTAGGAAGATCTGAAGAATTTAAATTCACTTAAAATTGTTGTCTGAGTTGAAGCTGTTTGTAAAATAACAAATATTGTTTGTGATGTTTGAGGTGATGTAACTTGATTAATATCTAGTGTGTGCATTCTTATCTAGATGAAGCAAGCTAATGTTTCTGTCTAATATTGGTAATACTCTGTTAGGTAACACTTGTAACTAATTTATGCATTCTAGGGAACAGCTGCTACCAATAATATATCAGCAACACCGACATTTCTGTTTTTCCGAAACAAAGTGCGAATCGACCAATATCAAGGAGCAGATGCTGTAGGTTTAGAAGAAAAAATTAAACAGCACCTGGAGAATGATCCTGGAAACAGTGAAGATACAGATATCCCAAAAGGATATGTATGCATCTCTTATCTTAAGATAATTTTTCTTTTAATGTTTGTGTAACTTGAATGTTTAAAAAAAAAATCTGTTGCTTTCTAAACATACTCTAAGGCAAATAATACTACTTTAGGCAAAACTGCAAGTTCCCCATGGCTTTGAGAAGATCACTTGTCTGGGTTTCCTTTTTCAGGCAGAATTAAAAAATTAACATGTATGTATTTAGTAAGTATGGTTATAGGATTGTAAAATGTTTTAAGAAAAATCTCCACGCATAGTCCTTAGTCATTAAAATAATTAATTTAATGTTTTATGGTGAACTTCTTGCTGCAGCTGCTTCTTCTTCTCAAACATCCCACTCTGTCTTCCCCAAAATGTTTTTTAAAGTGTAAAAATGTCCATGGGAAAAGACATCGTTAGACACGGTTATCAAAAACATTGAAAAGTTGCTCTAGTTGTTCCTTAAATCCTCTGTTGTTCATGTGGTGGTAGGTTCATTTGGGGTTTTCCTTTTTTCTTCTTGCTCCCTACTCTTTCTTTAATCCTCTTTATTTCATCTCTTTAAAAAAAAAAAAAGGGAGAGATTCGTTGCCAAAGGAATTAACCTTCATAACAGTTCAGCTCCATCTTTCTCTATAGCAGCTTGCTCTGAAAATAGGATGCCTTTGGGAGGGTATTGTTAGATAAATGATATCTCATTATATGTTTTCTTTTGCCTAATTGCTAATGTTTGCAAAAGTGGATGGTACTACAAAGTGTTCTCTTTAGATTTCTTCTTGCCTCTAAAAGAATGCCAAAGATACAGAAATATATAAAGTAAAAAATGCCACAGGAATACTTGGAAAAGATTGTGCCTGGTCTGAGCGGCGTACAAGAATTACTTCTTGCTGACTGTGAATTTGCTTTCAATTTAATGCTTAATGCATATCATTTCGCTTCTGTAGGGGTACTGCCTATCACTCCAGTAATCACTCATCAGGCATTCACAGATAACGTAAACTAAGTAAATAACTTGTAACTTCTTAGTAATTTGTAAAAAAGAAAAGTGAACATTTCTAAATGTATGTTCTCAGACTGAATGGTTTTTAAACCTTGCATCAAAATATCTCATAACTAAAACTTGATTTTAACATTTTTTTTAAGAATTTAAAAATTGGTATTCATGAGCAGGTTTTTTTAATCATTGCATGATTTGCCCATGTCTTCTAGGTAAATGAAAACTTTGTAGGGATACTTGACTTTTTGGCCAAAATTCCAATAAGGGAGCAATCTGCTTAGAAATATTGGTGGTCTCAGGAAATTATTTTCACCATGTTCTGTGTGTTTTCATGTTACCTCAAGGCAATTGTGCATTGCAAATCATAAGCCTGTCTGACAGCTGTACTAACAAACACATGTAAATGAGAACTCTAATGTGACAAAACACTTTCCTAGAGCTGTTGTCTTAGGTGGTATTCGCCAAGCAATCCTTGGTGTAATATTACTCCTTAAATGAGTTTGTCTATTGTTCTACCAAAAGTATAAACACAGTTAGTTATGTGGTGTATTCCATTTTGCCTAAATCGTATGTCACAGTTCAGTGCTTAGCTAGTTGCTGTAGTGTGCACATTACTTTGTGTTAGCAAATTTAATACATTAAACTTAGCTGTGATGAGTATCTATGGAAGCCAAAATTATGTTAAATGCAAAACCAGGTTTTTTGGAGGTTAAGTATTTTAAATTCATAGCTAGCCGTACCTGATCAGGCAAATGTAAGCAGGGTGCAAATCCAGCTGAATATTTCTCATTTAAATAAACTGCACAGTTATTTAATAACATTAAATAAAGGGCACAGGTCACTTGAATTTCTAGCAGTTCAGCTACTTGCTAACTGTTCCATGGCATGCATTGCACTTCTCTTTTTATATGTGAATGCTTACATTTTTAATTATTGTGAAATCCTCTGTGGAACTATGGCAATGTCAAAAGACAAAGGTTCGGCTTGTTAGCTTTGGAGCCCTAAACACACTAAAAATCATTCAAGTAGCAAGTTCAGGTCTGCTTAATTAGATTGGTTCTGAGATGAACGCACCATCTTCTATTAAAAGTTAATCTTGTAGGAGGTGGTGTCTTACCCCTACAAATCAAGTCCTGAGTATGTTCAGGGCTGTATGAGCCAAGCAGGAATTCTGTTTAACCTGTAAGTGGTAGGCTGAAATGCTGTTTGGCTACAGCCAAACTGTACTGCTGTTGGCCCCAGGAAAGTATCCTTATTCTCTTGCGCAGCTGTGCGTTCCTTGTCTTTTCTTACCTTGTATCTACTGAGCCTGCGAGTTGCAAGCTAAGCCTTCATTTGGATGTTGGGAGGGAGATAAGTATTTTTTGCTCAGAATAACGTAGTTGCAAGAGCTAAGGGAAGTGGCATACAGGAAGTCAGTTGTATTCTCTGAGCAGCCTGTTTTCAGATTCTGTTTGTACCGTGAAGCTATAGCCTGAGTTATATGCAGTAATTTTCAAGCTAGTGTGTGCTTTTTTCCAAGAGTGGTGTATTATTCTTTGGGACCTCATACATGCCCTTAAGAAGGGTATTTTGGGTTGTCATCCTAAAAGTTCCTTTAGTTTCTTATGTCTGGAGTGTTCTATGACTGTACACTGATCTTGAATTTGTACTGTTATGGCGTGAGATGTTGATATTCTGTCTTCAGGCCTTAAGATACGAAATACTTGATTTTTAGCTTGGTTTATTTTACTTCACTTGGACTTGGTTTCCTTTAGTTGCAGGCAAAAAAATTCTGGTTATCTGGAAATTGATACAGATTATTCTGCCTCTGCAATAATACCACCTTTTAGATGGCTTGGAGCATGGATAGCAGTCTGCTTTAATCTGAGAATGCTTGTATGTTAAAACTTTTAGTTGGACCCTTTACAAAAGAGCTGAGCAATAAAACAAACTGGTTCATGGTGAATAGTGTAGCTTCTGTTTTCTGTTGTTCTGTGTTTTTACTGAAGTATATGGGGAAAGGAGAAGGAAAAGGTTTCATAAATTTAATTTGTATACAGTGCTGAAAAAAGTAAATTAGACTAGCTTTGTATATAAAGGTAAAAATATCGTGGTGGTCTTTTAATTTGTTTTGCAATATATGGCATATTTTTGGGGAGGCCCATTTCTGTTTGTGGTTTTTTTTTTTTCCTATTAAGTTGATCATAGCTCTAGTGTAATGTCACTTTGTCTGTGTTGTGGTGTGACTTACAATGCTGTAGTCTTGTTTATCAAAAGTGTATCTGAAAATTCTCCCTGTGCCCAGTTTCTTATTCACAGAATGGCAAGCATGTGTTCCAGGGGTGCAGGATTTTGAATGGAAGGAAAAAAATGTTGTTCAGTTATGAACAGGATACATCCGAGTGCTATAGTATTCGTAGTTTTTGTTTGTAATCTCTTTTGATATAAACCCCTGAGGTTTTCTGTGTGTCTTGTTATTTCAATCTGTTGAATGAAGAATTTCATTCATTCCAATGTTTACTAATCCCAGATGAGTTCATGGCGCACTTATCATGCACTCAGCAACGCTCTTGCTTTTACTTTCAGATGGATTTAATGCCATTTATCAATAAAGCCGGCTGTGAATGTCTTAACGAGAGTGATGAGCACGGATTTGATAATTGTTTACGTAAAGACTCTACCTACTTGGAATCAGACTGTGACGAGCAGGTACAGCAGATATTTTTAAGTGAGATATTTTCAATGATGGTCTGGTCCGCAAGCATTTTTTTAAGAACTTGTCTACTTTATATTGTTATGGTAGTGTAAGTAAGAGCGGGAGATGGTAGTAGGATGTAAGTAAAATTAGTGTACAAAGATCACTGTAGCATTTCTAGTTTCACATCCCTTTATGTATGGAAAAAATTCCAAGCGGAGTAGCATTTGCTGATATTTTAAAGTGACAGACCAGTGCCTGTGCGGAATATAGTGAAGGTAAGTACTTAAGTTTACTTCAAAGCTCAGACTTATTTCTAGTTAATTATTGTGCTATGTTTGTTTTTAAGAATGAAGAAAACAGTGTTTAACAGCAACTCTTTTCTCCACAGCTGCTTATTACTGTAGCTTTTAGTCAACCTGTCAAGCTTTATTCTATGAAACTTCAGGGGCCAGATAATGGTGAGTGAAATGTGAGTTTAATCATATCTTTGAAACCAAAGCTTTGCCCATGTTTAGCTGAATTTTCTAAAAATGACACTGTTGTCCCTGGAACTTTTTACCTTCTGAGAATCCCACAGAAGCTTCGGTGAATTTGTTGTAGATGAATTACATAACAAATTATCTCATTCATTTTTCACTGATCTTGTGCATGAGTATTTGGTATGACGCAAATATAAGTATTTACTATAGTTTGATATGCTGCAAAGAGAAACTTACATTTAATTCAAGAATTAACGTGAGAGCTACTGAAAGGTATAGCTTAGTTTTTATGGTAACTCAGTTAACATGAAATTACATAAAATGTTCAGGTGTTATATGACACAACAAAACTATTATTTTTAGACTTTTTATTGGAATTTTTTTGTGGAATTCTCTCTGACACGTAGACAAGTAGTGCAATTTTGGATGTCCTTCAATATCCAGGGTGGTGATGTAGGATTGGCAGATAAGTTATTAGAGCTGTAGAAGCTCATGCCTTCCTCGAGTGGTGTCTAGAGACTGTGATAAGGGAGGGCTTCTCAAGTAACATTTTGAAAATATATTTAAACAATGGAATACCACTCCTATATTTTAACACAGGACAAGGTCCAAAGTACGTAAAAATCTTTATCAACCTTCCTCGATCTATGGATTTTGAAGAAGCAGAAAGAAGTGAACCAACTCAAGCCCTGGAGCTGACACCAGATGATATTAAAGAAGATGGTATTGTCCAGCTTCGCTATGTAAAATTTCAGAATGTTAACAGTGTAACTGTAAGTAAAGTTTCTGTTCTGAGGTCTGTGCAGGCTGAAAACTTCATAGGCTTTTAAAGCACTGTGCATGTTTGTTGATTTCGTTGCAAATGTTCTTAGTTTCTCTCTGCTGATTGTGTACTGTATGTTTATGCTACAAGTATTTCAGGAATTTAAGGTGAGACAAAGCCACGTGCATGTAATGTCTCGTTTGACCTAGTATGAGACATAAGGTTCGCTTTCACTTCTTCATGAGCTAGTGTGCTGTTTAACACAACTTGTCCTTACTAACTACGTTCTTGAAAGGCATCTTGTCTTCATTTGAAGAGTTGAGGAGACAAAGAATCCAGTTTCTCAGTAATCTGATTGCAGAAATGACAGATTTCTGAGTATCAAGTGAAGTACTTGCAATGTCTTTAAGCTCAGTACCCCCTCTCTGTGAGGGTTCTTAAATGCTGTAATCAAAGCATCTTTGTCTTTTAATGAGCTCTCTAATTCTCTTGCTGTAAGAGACTTTCCACAGATTTCACATAGGGTTTTTGACTCTTAAATGCAGGTGCGGTTTCTCCTCTTTGATTTTAAAAATACAGGTTCTAGCACAATGTGTGCGATGACTAAATTGATGCTGGAATTGCTTTATGCTTGGGATCGTCCTGGTACTGCACTAGCCTTGTTTCCTGCAGTATTGCGTTGAACTATTTTTCCAATATGACCCCTGAATTCTCTTCTATGGAAATACTTTTCATGGCCTGAATTATGCATTTGCAAATGTACGTACTTACAGTTGATTGAATTAAACTATACTTTAGTGGGCTGGCCGCAGAAATCACCAGCTTATGATAAGTTACAGGTAACTCCAAAACATTGATCCACCCTCAATCTTTTCATCACACTTTTTCTTCTGTAAAAAGGTTTCTGGTAAATTTCTATATTACTATTGTTGGACTGCATTTTCGATCAGTTAGCTACTTTCATGTTTAGTGATGTTTTACTTGTAATTATTTTAAATGTAATGGGAGGTGAACCTAAATAACTCCTTTTCATGTCTGTTGTTTCTATGGAGTTACCTTTGCGACCAACTTTGTTCACCAAATAAAATGGAGATTGGTCACGTAGGCTTATATTCTACAAAGCTGTGCTTACAAGTTATGTATTTGTTCTTCAATAAAATCCCGTGTCAGCTTTAGACAGGATGATGTGCAAACACCGGACAAGTGATAAGGTGATTAAATAGATGTTCTGTTTGTTTGCACTCTTTGCGTGTGGGCACTGCAGTAGCACTCCCCTAGTTTCTGAGCTAAATCTGGATTCTGTATTTGAGACCTCCTAAAAATGAGATGGCCAGTCATCTTGTCCACGACCTGGCTTTTCAGTGCGGGTGATGAAGTTCTGCTTGCTTACATAGTCCTGTGGATAAAAATCTTTCATTTGGTTCCTAATGAACTTGAGGAGGCCCAGTTGTCATACACAAATTGTCCTGCTTTTCTGCTGTGTATAATCAGAAATACTTACTGAACGCCTCCATGTCAGTGTTAGCAAGTTCGTACTTCACTTACAGATATCACTGGTACGTTTGTTAGTTAACTTATCTGTTTTTTTATTATTAATTCTATACCCTGTAGTTTCTCATCCATATAATTCACCATATCTAATGCTGTTTTTCCCCATTTGTTGTGTGCTTCTCTTCATTACTGCTACTTCAGTGGCATTTGTTTTCTCTGTACTTGTTGAACTTTTCATATCATTACTGAGACAGAATCTCTGAATACATTGCAGTTCACCTCTGACAAAAGTCAATCCTTGACGTGCTCTTCTGGTTCTTTCTGTCTGAAGAGTACTTTCTTCAGCATTTCAACCCTCACCTTCCATACATCTTGTTCGTATAGGAAGATACACCTACAGTGAAGCCACTTGGAGGGGTGAATATCTGTACTGGTCTAGATCAGCAGTCCATCTTGCTTATCACGCACTTGCAAGCATCCGGTGTTGTCACAAAAAAGTATAGGGCAAGCATGTAGTGATGCGTACCCTCCAGCATTTGGTGGTCTGTCGCACAGGCAATTTCTAAGGCTGAAAGGGCATCTTCATAGATACTGGCTATGGCTTGTGGAAAGGGCGTGACACACACTGTCCCTTGTCCACCTGTTGTCCTCCCTCTCCTTTTTTACCTCTGTTCCTGATGCCACTACTCGCTTTCCTTCTCATCCCTCCTTTCTCCATGCTCACAATAAAGTGTGGAAAGATCCACAAACACCTCATTGCTCTTCTAACTCCCAAGTTCCTTACTAATACTACTTCATGCAAAAAATTGTTCTTTCGTTTGTCCACTTTAAAAAGTGAAGTGGTTCCAGCAATAATTCCTTAGTTCGTATTTCAAAAGAAGCTTGATGTTTGTTTGAAACACTAAAATAACTTCATAGATCTAGTATTCATGCTGTAAAATACATAATTATGCAAGCTGTAGTAGTAAATAACACATGAATAGTCTTAGGGGCTTCAGCAAACATAGTTAAATTGATATTTAACTTCCATTTCAAGTCAGATTTCAGTGAATAGTGAATTGTGACTTCTTAGATCCTGTTTTTGCTTGCTGGATGTGGTCTCAGGTCGAAAGGGGAAGCTGGGAAAATCCAAGCTGTGTGGGTTTTTTAACAACTACCAGGAAAATAATAGCGTTCTATATAATCATTATTTAAAATAAGAGGACAGTAGCTTCTCTAAAGGTTACAGAGGTCTTTATAATTGGAATAAGTGTTAATTTGGTTAGTTCAAAAATCTTGGGCACCTAACATTTTTATGTATTAATTCAGGTATGGACAGTTTACCTTAACTCTTGTGTTTGGGGTTTTTTTCTTTAGTTGTTTGTCCAATCCAATCATGGTGATGAAGAGACAACAAGAATTACATACTTCACGTTTATTGGAACTCCAGTCCAAGCAACAAATATGAATGACTTCAAGCGAGTGAGTCCTCTTTCTTAGAAGCACTTTCGAATGTTTTAAAACTGCTCAAAAATGGGTTGACAGAACAAATATACTTGGTTGTTACTACAATCCCACAACTTAAGGTAGTTTTGGCATTCAAAAAAAAAATGTGTATCTCTATCTTAGATCTTTGTCTTGCTTACAAGTTTCTGTTTATCAACTTTGTAAAAATACCTGATGAGAAGGTATATATGAATACTTGAGGGACTGTCAAGTTATATACACTATAGACAATGTTTTTTTAACAGCTGTGAGATTTATGTCTAGGTTTTGAAACTTGCTTTCTGATGGTATTCAGGAAGTAGAGAAGCAATTGCATGTACTCATTAGACTCCTTGTGATTGACTTCTACTTTGAAGGATTTTATTCACTGGGCAACATTAAGCTGAGATCTGAAAAATATGTGGTCACAAGGTGTCTGTTATATTAAACATAGGAAATGTTTAATTTAAATGTTAAATTAAACAGGAAATGAAGAAGCAAACAACTTGTTACAGTATGACTTTAGACACACTAGTGCTGAACAATAAGGCACTCTCAATTCTTGATTTTGTTGAGAATGCGAAATGGGTTTGAAAGGATTGAAACTTTAAAGCTACTTACAACTTCTTCAAAACGTAGTAAGTCTTTTTAAAATAAACTACTTTAAAACTTAGTAGCCTTTGTAAAAGGGCAAATACTGCTGTAACACCTGCCTACAAACTGCTGTATAGGTGACCAGTAACACTGAAAGCACCACCAAATTGGCTATACAAATAACCTGTAACTTCAGAAAGTTAAAAACACTAACACCAACATGTCACATACTTGGAATTTTTAACATCAAAACTTGATCTTAACTTCTACATGTAAAACTTAATATCTTCACAGGTAATGATTAAGGTAATAAATAGAAGTTTAACAGGTTTTGCTGCCTTTCAATGAAACTTGAAGTCATTGAAAAAGTTGTTCTAATGTACTAAAATTAACTGTATATCAATTTTAAACCTTCCTAATATAGCACTTTTAAAGGACTTTTAGTTCTCCCAGAACTAGAAATATGCTTATTGATTTACAGTCTGCTTTCATTTTTTTATACGGCTTTTTTGTCAGTACTTATGGTATTAGGGCATCCCCTGCAGTGAGTTGTGCAATTACTATCTTAACATCATTAATCTGCAGTGCTTTCTGGTATTGTTGTGAGGGGAGTGGAACTCTGATCAGTATTTGATCTCTGTCTCACTTTCGGTTCTCTGTAAACTCTATAAAGTAGTTTTCCTTTCAAAAGTACTGAAAGTTTATTTTCAACAAGCGCACTCTTTAAACCTGACCTTCTGATCGTTAAAGTAGTGATTTATTTTTTTAATTGATAATCCTATTTGGGGTGCACTTGGTAAAGCAATTTAAGTTGTTTTGTTTTTTTTTTTGTAGAATGTTACATGGGTTTGAGATTAGTGTTGAGCCTGCACAAAATCTGTTTCCTACAGTATTTTAAGTTGCATGGACAAAATGTTAGTTTGGTGGACACAGTACTGAAGTACTGCCTTAGCCTGAAACTGACTGCTCTAACAATCTGAGCTCCAGTCAGTGTTTGTGTGAGGAGTGGGTTTTTTAATTTGCACTTGCCCTCACACAACCCTATAAAGCATTAAAAATAGCATGAGTCTCCAGGCATCTCAGCCCTCTACTGCAGTTAGAGGGGGTTTGCAGATCTCTCTCAGTTCTAGATGCAGTGTGGATGCTTGGAAGCTGCTATATGGCCTGGTAAATACTATGCCAGTTAACAGTTCTGGTTTCCTTGAAGTTTGCAGGTGAATGTCTTGGTACTATCAAGGAGTGTGCCTTTGTGTCTTGTGACATCCATTTAAATGGAAGGGGAAGGGGTGCAAACCTACAAGACTGTGTATATACCACACAGTCACATGGTGTTAGCATTGTACTGCTAATGTCAGGATGTTAAGGAACCTGGTCAGAACAGCCTTAAATAGAGGAGCAGGTGTTACTGGGTTATGAGTGGCTAATCCTCTCTCAATTTAGATACTCATCGACACTATATGTAATATTCCTATTTTGTTTCCTGAACATGTAGCTTTAATACTAGGCTGTTAAAATATTTCATCATAACGAATGGGATGTGTAGTCTGGCAGAGTGTCATGGTTTAACCCCAGCCGGCAACTAAGCCTCACCCAGCCACTCGCTCACTCCCCACCCACCCCTGTGGGATGGGGGAGAGAATCTGAAGAGTAAAAGCGAGAACTCGTGGGTTGAGATAAAGACAGTTTAACAGGTAGAGCAAAAGCCTTGCATGCAAGCAAAGCACAACAAGGAATCCATTCACTCCTTCCCATCGGCAGGCAGGTGTTCAGCCATCTCCAGGAAAGCAGGGCTCCATCACATGTAACGGTGACTTGGGAAAACAAATGCTGTCACTCCAAACGTCTCCTCCTTCCCCCAGCTTTATGTGCTGAGCATGACGTCATATGGTATGGGATATCCCTTTGGTCAGTTGGGGTCAGCTGTCCCAGCCGTGTCCCCTCCCACCTCCTGGTGCCCCGCCAGCCTCCTCGCTGGTGGGGTGGGGTGAGGAGCAGAAAAGGCCTTGACTGTGTGTAAGCACTGCTCAGCAATAACTAAAAAATCTGTGTTATCAACACTGTTTTCAGCACAAATCCAAAACACAGCCCCATACTAGCTCCTATGAAGAAAATTAACTCTATCCCAGCCAAAACCAGCACACAGAGTTGTTGTGATCTTAGGAATTTTAACTTTTGTTTCCTCTCTTCCAGTGATCCTGTCAGTTATGAAACCTTAATACAGCATTGGGCATTAATTATATTTAGGTTCATAGATTAACTGGGAAACCTTACTTTTCTTTTCATCTCCTTGAGTAGTTACCCACACTACCTTCACTCCCTCATCTCAGTCTGTCTCTACTGTTCATATTTTTCTTCTAATTATGATAGAAATAGTATTGCAATATGATTAACAAGATGGGGGAATGTTTTTTCCCCTGAGTTTGAGAAGTGTTTGTAAGAATCTATTGAATATATTATTTGAAGAATTGAGAAATGGACATAAATGTGATTCCAATCATGTTTTTATGATTGATCCCATTGCTGCTGATTGTATGGATGTTCAGTTTCAAAGTAAAACAAAACAAAAAAACAAAACAAAAAACCCCCCCAAACAAAACCAAACCACCTGCTAAGGATCAGGCTAATGTATTTTGCTTCCCAATTGGAGTGGGATCTGAATGCTTTTATTTACAGCAGCTTACCGCTCAGCAGTTGATTGCTAAGGTGCATAACTGCAGCTCCCATGTCGTTCAAACAGTTGAGAACTCATGTTTGCTCATGCAGTCCTCTGCTAACACCAACAGGGCTGTAAGAAGAGTCACCTCTTCTTGATCAGGGAGTCAGTTCATGTGTTTAATGTAAACGAGGCCTTGTTTCCAGTACTTACACTATTAAATAGAAAGCTGAAATTCATCTACTTTGAAAAATAACAGAAGTACTAAGCAGGTATAATTAAGTCAGTCCTTCATTAGTGATTTTGGCCGCAAGTTAGTTTGGACACATAAAATCACAGAAGAGCCCAGGTTGGAAGGGACCTCAAAAGATCACCTGATCCAACCTTGCATGGGAAAGGGAGCCTAGATGAGATTATCTAGCACCCTTTCCAATCACATCTTGAAAACCTCCAGCGATGGGGACTCGGCCACATCCCTGCGGAGGTTGTTCCAGTGATTGATTGGTCTCGCTGTAAAAAAATTTCTTTCATTGTCTTGCATGTAGTTGGTATTGCTGGATTGAGTGAGTAAAGTTACAAAAGCTGCTTTCAAACTTGTTTTAATATGTTGTGTGTATCCTGCTCCTTGCACAACCTGATTTTTATCCTCTGGGGAGGAGGGAAGTCTTCGGAGTGGTGGAAAAGGGGGACACCAAGGAAAAAATTTCTGCTTAGAACTGACTGCAGTGTAGTGAGTTAAGCACAGAGAGTAGTGGGGAGAGACCTATTCTTTGCCCTGTTTAAATGAAGAGGCCCTTAACCGTAGAGGACTAGGATTAATATTCCCTTTCTATATAAATTCCCTTTCTATTTAATATATTCTGAAATGCTTTTGGAAAAGCTTGATTTAAAGGCATGTTTGTTTTAAAAAATATCCTTAACACTAGAAGTGTTTATGCTGCTGTTTCTTGGCCACACAGGGTCTGGACTTAAGGTATAAGTGATCATGCAAACTACTTTAGTAGACTGCATTTGCGTTGTAGTAGATTGCATTTGAGATTTGCTTCTGATGTTCAGAGATGCTCAGTTGGACTACTTTGTTGGGCAGACAGCTAAAAGTGTAGACTAAAGGTGCCAGTTCTGTGGGTTTTTTGCTATTGTTTGATAGCTTAGTATTAGGAGGTTCCTGTGAATCTTGGTGAACTTTTAAATATGCTTTTGGTTTTGGAAGAGCATGCAACCGTTGATGTCCAATATAGTTCTTGTTTATTTCTGGTATTAATGAATAAAACGTACTGCTGCTCAGTTTTGAGGTTGGAGCAGGGATGAATATCAACAGGTTGTGGGACTCCTCTTTTTTGTCCCCTCTTGAATGAAGGCTTGCTTTCTACTCAGAACTGCTTATTTGCACTACATGCTGCTGCTTTTTTTTCTTGTAACACTTTGTTTGTTTGTTTTTCAGCTTAACTTCCCATTTCTAAAGAACTAAAAAGGCAGAAGAAATTAAAAAGTAATAAAAAGATTGAAGTGGTCTTGCACTACTCCCTTCCTTGCTCCCTCTGCTCATCTAGCATCTCTTTCACCCTTCCCACAATCTCAGCACTGATGTAAAAGCCACCTTCTCTGCACCTTCTACCATCAGGAAAAGCCTTCTCTACCTTGTGACTCATGAACTCATCTTTCCCCTCCACTCCCCACTCTAAGTCTTACCTTAAATACTTCCCTTTACCTTTCAGTCTTACCAAATTTCTGTCCCACTGTTATCCTGAACTTGACATTTTAAAGGCATACCATACAGTACTCTTAGAAATTATTTTCTGTAACTAATTTTTCAGCCTGTATTGAGTTTTGTAAAGCTGTTTGAGATGCAGCTTGTGAAGTGCTCTACCAAGGCTTGACTTTTTTTAGTATCTTAGTGGAGCTTAGTGTTCTTCTTTGTTGTGACCCTTCAGTAAGTAGTAGGCAAGCCAGAATGGCCTGCAAAGTACTACTCTTCGTTGTCCCTCTAGTGGCGCTGGGCACCTGCTCAGGGAAGACACAGTGAGGAGTTGGTGAGTGTCTGTACATATGTGGCCTCATTAGGGTTCTCCAGCAGCATCCTACCAATTTTACTTGCTTGACCTCTTTATATATATTTAAAACAAACAAACAAAACCAACTCTGCTCCAGAAGATTCAATAATAAAGTGTTTCCAGTCCTATTCTTGGTAATGAACCGTAGAGTTGGTTGTGTTTTTGTTACTGTCAGGCTCTGAACTGATGCTTGGGAAAAAGCCAAATGATTGAAGAAAAGCCTGCTCCAAAATCGTCATCTTTTGTGTGGGAATTACAGGCTGTAACCACCGCCTTAGAATGCACTAGATGGCAGTTGTTTCTGTAAAAGGAAGGAAAATGAATCTATTTCTGAGAAAAGAATAATGACAGTTGTTTGGTTTAAGTTTAAATAGCTCGTTTCCTTTTGTGAAGGTGGAGTGGGATGGTCAGAAAATGGGTTTCTTTGACCTGTGATAACAAAATATCCATATCAGTGTGATTGATTTTCACAGATAATACACATGGGCGAGTTGTCAATTTCTGCTTCAGACTGGTATAGCAATATTTTTCACTGATGTTCCGCACTTGCTAACACCTAATCTTTAATCTTTTAACTGTGTTTTTTCTTTTTTCTTTTTGGTTTTTTTTGTTTGTTTTTTTTTTTTTTTGCTTAATCTGTGTGTGAACACAGTTTGATGCTTTGGAAACACACAAAGAGTAAATATTGCTTCTTGACAAGTTTAACTATTTTTTCTTTAACTTGATTAATTGGATCTTAATGTAAGTGATTGGGCTTCTGATTTTTTTTCTTCTTTCCTCATGTTGTCACATTGGAATTTTCCTGACCTTACGCATTAGGTTGAATTTACAGCTTGGTAAATGCTTCTGGTCAAGGGTTCCTTGGAGGTGGAAATGGTCTTTAAGAGTACTTTTCATCAGTAGATCTCAATTACTTTGTGATGGTGATAACTTAGCTGACCAAGAGCAGCTGGATAGTGAAAAATTCTCCCTCTTGAAGTTTGACAAGAAATAAAAAAAGGGGAAGGATCAGGAAGAATACTTCCAGTGGGTCTGTGCGACTTCCATAGTTCAGGGTTGTGGGGGTTTTGGGTTTGGATTTGTTTTGTTTTATTTTCCCCTTAGTTCTATATTTCACTATTGACTGTATGAATCTCGTGTGGTATATTGTCACTTAGCTGCAGAGGTAATTAATACTTAAGACATTTGCTATAGCAGTCAATTGGTTAGAATAAAAGAAAGGTTTTACTCTTTCGTTTTCAGCATTATTATGAGTAGTAATGGGAAATTCTATGCTTCATTAGTGTAATCTTCAAAGCTCTGGTTATGTGAATTCTGACTACACCTTGTCAGAGCCTAAGCGCTACTCTCTGGTTAGATGGAAATTAATTGGGAATCAGTTCCTTGCCCAAGATCTCTCCTGCAGTTTGAAATCTTAAACTTTCAGACTTAGTTTCTTTTTATTTTGGTTTGGCTTATAAATGGCTCTTTTTTTCCAAGAGTCTGCAAGAACACTAGAATTATGTCCGAATCTTTTCAGAAAAGTGACTAAAATGGCATCGTTTTCTGCTCTCAGGATTTTGAGTTCAGTTACCTTAACGAAGGGGACTGGATACCCTTCTGCAGTGAACTACGCTAATTTTAAACCTGCATAGCAGTATGTAGAGTGCTGGAGTTGCACTTGCTGTTGGCTGACAAATCGACTCACCAAAGTCTGGTGGCAGTGGTGGTCTTTTCAGAGAAGGGTAGCACTAAGCTGACTCTGATTCCAGGTGGAGTTTACAGAATTGGAGATTGGAAGGAGACTTGATAAGGAATAATGTTTTGACAAGGAATAACTGAAAATCAGGTGACTTCCAGATTTCTTTATAGGTTTGAGCTGCATTATAAGGTAAATGTTCTCAGTGAGGTACATGGTAAGGGTGCCAAGGGAAATGAACAAACTTCTATTTGAGCACCCAGTGGTTCTCTTCCCACTATAATATTTTACGTAGTGTATTAAGGTTGAATGCTTGGTATATAACACATATATTTTTAAGTGTGGTCTGTTCTGTTGCAGTTACTGTCTTCTAACTCTTCTCAAAATGAGACTTATGGTTTGCTGTCTGTATGAGTACTAAAGATAAGGTTTCTTGTGTGTCTTGCATCCCTCTTAGCCCTTTAGAGGGATTCACAGCTTCTGCAAGTGCTACAATAATGCATGCTTAAATGCATTAACTTAATTGAAAATTCAGTTGCACTTGTTTATTTTGAGACTTACCTTAAAAAATACTTGGCAGGACTTTTGTTGTTAAACATTATTTCTGTGTTTTTTTTGTCTTATCAGGTAGTTGGCAAAAAAGGAGAGAGCCACTAGGACGCAAAAAACACTGGAAGGCCTTATCGCAATCAAAGAGATCTTCACTTTTATCTACAACTCCTGGATAATTGCTTGACCATAACCAGAGACTGTCAATCTGTTTCATTTAATGCCATTACCAATAAATCATTGCTTTTGTTGAGATGGCGTTTCCCTAGTGTGTTTCTGTTGTAATCCTCGTACATGTATTTGTAAATAAAATCCATTACTTTTGCCAAGTTTAATTTTGCTATTCTAGTAACTGTGGCTTTTCCTTTGTTCCATTTAAACTTCAAAACTCGACTGGCTTATCTTTAGAAACAGAAGACATAATGTAGCTTGCATTTGTTCAGTGTGTTTAAAATGTCAAATATAAGTAAAACATAGATGGCCTTCGGAGGCCAACTAAAAATAAAATCCGAGCTACTTTGTTACAAGATTAAATGAACTTAGGATCATTGTTCCCACAAAATACAGATACTTCTCAGATAGGAATAACTTCACCTGTTTCGGAAATTTGCATTTCCCTCCCCATCTCAAAAAGCATAGGAGGAGGAAGCATATTTTAAGTTACCATTCCATTAACTTGCAGATCTGTCACAAATGGCATGCTGATGCAAGCTGTTTGGCACTGAGAATTCTTGAGTCTTTTGAAAGTGTTCGTTTTTCTAATATTATTAGAAAATACTGACCTTGTTTCCCAGGCAGACTCTGGCAAGCTGTGCAGTTATGGGGATTTAGATGTTTGTGTACCCCACCTGAACCTAAATTCCTTATTTCTTTTATTAGGTATTTTTCCTCTCTCTGGATCTTGATAAGGAAATGTTTATTGCAAATATTAATTCTACGTCTTAATTGGAATTCCTGTACTACTTTGATACATTTTCTTGGAAATGTGCCCTAAGTAATTTTAATAAATCGGGCATTGATCAGCAGCATATACATATAATACTGTATAAATTCCCAGTAAAACTTGCTAAATGTTTTAATTGGCATAATTAATTTCTTTGTAAAGTTAAATTTGTTACATTTCTAATTACCATAAATCCCACTAAGGTTTAAATCCTGTCCTAATTGGCATTCCTTCCTTGAGCACAGTAGGGTGGTTCTCTTCTGGCTCGGCAGATTTGTATGTTAATACCAAGTTAACTTTCTGTTAGCATAGATATTTTCTCCAAACAGAAAACTGGGGATTGTCTAGAAAAACATTCTTTCTGAGAGGCACTTTGTTGTTTTCACTGTATCACTGCATACTCCAGGATACTCATCTTCCTGTATTACAGTCAATGGCATGCGATGATGATTTGGTTTCTTTCGTACTTCCTCAATGTTGTGCTTCAGTGGGGGGTGTAAGGCATGTAACACACTGTATATAGAATATAAATCATTTTTAAATATAATTGAGGGCAATATGAATAACTGTTCCTGTTTATAATTTTTGTACACTAATTACCTTTTGGGTTATTGTTTAAGTGCCTCATCTTAAGTATTGCTTACCTCATAATATTTATACCTGAGAGATTTGATAACCTAGTGATTCTCATCTTTGTAAAAGATTAGTCAAATTTATATTGTTTATGAGACTTCTGTGATTTCCTTGGTTGCATGATGCATACCTTCCATAATGATACAATGTACATAGATCTAAATAAATGTTTAGAGGTAACTGTCACATGTTTCACTTAATGGAAAATGGGGTAGAATTGTGCACAAGGAGCTAAAAATCACAAAACTGAAGTTATGATGCAATATTGTCTTTTAAGTGGCATTGCCCTTACATGGTGCTCCTGGGTGCATGTGGATCTCGCAGGATGAGTGCTTGCAATGCCACTGCTTGGCCTGGGGTTTTTGAGTTTTGTTCTTAATGGGAAAAGTCACACTGGGAAGTTGGTCTCTTTCATAACTGAGTAGGAGCCCTAAAAGGGAACCGTAACGCTGCTGGTGATCAAGTAATGCAGAGGCTGTGATAATTGAAATTTGTTGCTAGTCCAAGCTACAGATGAATAACGTTCACTGTCGTTAGGTTAAATCGGTTCCCTGCTCTGTTTTTTACTTTTTATATATCCTAAGGCTGACGTTCGTTTGGATAAGCTGTTGGATTGTTCAGAAATCTTACTGAGGTAAGTGGCGTGCGTGTGCAAAATTATTTACGTGCTTTGACGTATCAGCAAGGTCTGACCCAGCTTTGGCAGCAGTCCTGTCCCCTCGTGCCCTTCAGCCGGCCCAGCCCTTGCTGCTTTGTTCCCAGCAAAGGTTGATCTGTTAAACTTTCAGTAAAATTCTGAGAGGTTGCTGAAAGTCTGTGGGTGCACATGCGTTTTATAGCAAATGTCCTAGTTCAACTGGTAGCTTAAAGAATAGTTTTAGCTGGAACCTTCTTTCACTTCCTTCAGGGTTGGCAAGCTGGTCGTGAGGTTTGCTTAGTGTCTTTAAATGGCAACAGGCTCTTCAGTCGTGGGTTTCCCCAGGACTGGGCATATTGGCCAGGGTATCAGGCTGCGGACTGCATAACAGAATTAATCTGCAGTGCGAGACCTTAATTAGAGTATCGCCGTGTGAAATGTTCTGCATGTGAGCATTGAAAAGACTGAGAAGGGGCACTTGAATTGCTAGCAGAGACTGTACACTGGGAGCCTTTGATGTAGGCTTGCCTCGTCTTCATCCTTTATCGTACTTGTGTATTGAGATTAATAAGCATATATTACCAGAGAGCTGCAGGACTTGGTCTAAAGACTGCTAGAGGGAGCAAATACAGCACTAGGGAAGTTGTTTATTTTCATGTTCATAGTCTTCAATGTTTTTATTTCTGATAAGAGTTTGAGTTATTAGAAGACTAACCTCTAAATACCGTTTGGCTTCTAAATTAATGGAGAAAGTATAAGAAGTAGTAATGGTTAGAAGCTAAAGCCTGAAAAAGTGCTTGCGGTCAAGGAGGTACATCTTTAATCTGCCCGATTCCTTCAAAATGCCACATTTGCTACTTCTGTTATCTTCTCAGTTAGCTGAAGATGCTTGTAACATTTTGTAGGCAATAGGGGAGCTAACGTGACACATCGTCTTAAAACATGGTGAGACGGAAATCAAGAGTATGGTCAGAGGTGATAAAGAAGCAGAAATGCATAGATTCCTCTCCTCCTTTTCCTTAGGTCGGCTTTGCAGTGCTGGGAGCAATGAAATGGCTCCGTAGTGGAATTGGTAGGTGAAGTACCCATGGCTGCTTTCCCATAACGCTTCTGTAGGAACGTCTTACACGGGCTTGACTTGGGAGCAAATGTCTTGGGCTAGTTAAATCCTGTGTGGGGGGAAATACCCCGATGGACCTTGCATAGCTGCTTTTGTGGACATGGTGCTTTTTTAGGTATAGTATTCAAAATATGTTGTATGTACAAGGAATGCCAGAAGTAATAAAATGAGAGAAGACTTCCAATGTCCAAAGGGTTAACAACTTAACCTGCAGCAAACTCCACTTTTGAAAAAGTTAGGTTTTTTCTTCTTTAACAGCCAGTTTGTATCTGGATTTAGAGGAGTATTTTTGAGATATGCCGATAAAATACCCAGGTTCTGACTCAAATACCAGCACTTTGCATAGCATAAAATTCACTTGTGTTAGGGAACATGAGTATTTATCACTGAATTTAATTCCTAACCTAGTTTGGCATGAACTCAAGCTCATTTTGTGCATCTTCTATTCACTTCTAGGTTTCTTAAATATTTGACTCTATGATACCAAATACATCTTTTCCTGTGGTTGAAACTTTGAAGGGTCTTTTCTGCTTGGGTATTTCTTAATAAAGTGTCTTCCTTTGCATGCACTGAAGAGTGACTTGTTCTATGCGTAATTCTCAAAACAAGTATTTCTTTTAAAGTTCAGGAGAGCATTCCCCTGCTTGATGCCAGCATGTTGCAAAGGTTGTTTAGAACACACAAGTATGTGTAATTTCTTTTTTCCTGTAGCCTTTAATGACAGAATGGTTGTCTTGATACTGAATCTCCAGTAAAGTTCCCTTGAAGAATTGCACAACATGGAAGTGTTGAATGATGGAATAAGGTTTCTTCTTTAGCGGTGAATGGGAGGAGAGATTTATGTTGTGTAAAGAACGCTGTGGATGCACTGTTGCTCTCCTGCTCTTCCTCACTGCCACATTCAAGGCTCAGCAAGCTTTGTACCTGAAATAAAGTATGCAAGGTTTTCATTAAAAAAACAAAAATGCATGTACAGAACCATGCCTGGAGAAAGTTGCATCAAAATTGGCTGTATAAAGAAGTATTCTGCTGCAATGGTCTGATACCGTGCAGTCCAGATCATTCTGTGCTTTACCCTTAGGTACTTTTCTCGTGCTGCTTCCCATTACCTGGATGTTGTTACCAGGGATGACCCCAGGCTGAGCTCTGAATCGCCTTCGGAGCGCTGTGCAGGGCCTGTTTGACCACCCGCTTTCTGGGGAGCTTCTCTGTGAACATGTGCAGGAGGCTGTGAGTCTGTTCCAACTACTTCTGAATATTTTTTTAAAGTACTTAACATGTTTTACTGGTGTCAGAATGCCAGTTTTTATCAGAAAGCTGAGCAGGATGGAAGAAATAAATACCTAAATTGCCTTTCTGAATATGGAATCTTGCTAAAAATGTATATATAAATTAGTTTGCCTGATAAGGTCTTATTTTTTTATAAAGCTGTGTTGACTGGCATTAACTGTACTCCTGCCTCTTGATTATCTTTTGATAATCTTCAAACTTCTGTTGTTTTGGGTTTTTTTTTGCATTGGGACTGATGTCAAAGCACCTCCTACTTAGTTGGCCTTGAATATTGGCAGAATTTTGAAAGTTCTTCACTTCCTGATATTTCTTTATTGAAATGCAGGGTATTCCTGAAACAAACCTAGTGAGGGTGCACAGATAATGCACCACAGCACTGTTTTAATTTGTGTGTTCACGAAATGTTGCTTGAACACAGCTACCTAATGCCTGTGGCTGGCTTAATTGAGATCTTATTTGTTCGTGCATAATTCTGGGTGGATACTGTTTTTCTAAGTTCAAGCGGCTACAGCTTTATTACAATTGTTGACCTTATTTGAACATAAAAAGACAATTTTTTTGTTATTGGAAATCTGTTTGAAGAAACATTATTCCACACAAAGCCGCAAACAGCACGTTCGCTTC